TGGGTCAGCTCAGGCTGCTGTAACACAAATCCCACGCCGTAGGGGGCTGGTAGACAATAGACGTTTGTTTCTCACAGTTCTGGAGGCTGGAAGTCCAGGATCAAAGTGCTGAGCGATGCAGCTGCTGGTGAGGGTTCCTTTCTGGCGTGCAGACCCCCATCTTCTCACCGTGTCCTCTTCTTTGGGGAGGGGTGAAGAAGAGAGTCCTGGTCTCCTTTTCTTATAAGGGCCCTAACCCATCGCTGGGGGTCCTGTGCTCATGGCCTCATCTCAACCTCATCACCTTCAAAGGTCCTACCTCTGACACATATGCTTAGAGCTTAGAGCTTCCACATATGAACTTTCGGGGACAAAGACAGCCCATAGCACCTGGTTAGCATCCCCCTGAATCTCTCCTGAGGCAGGCACGTGCTTAGAACCTGGGGCTCGCCCCACTCCCCTGACCTCCCCTCCTGGGGGCCAGGAAGTGCCCCACAGGGGCCCACCCTGTCCACCTCCGTGGCTGTGCTCAAGCTGACTTGCTCGGGCCCTGTCCTGTGAATGGAGGAAGGATGTCCGGCTCAGCCTTCGCACCTGCCCCGGTGGATTCCGTGATAAGTGACCTGAGCAGCCTGGCCCGGCGCTACACTCCGACCCTGTTCCTGACTGCACCTCACGCAGCCACTCTCAGCCTCGGTTTCTCTGTCAATAAACAGGCCCCAGCACACCCCAGCGCCTGAGGCTGTTGGGAGGGAGGAGTGCGACAATGTTTGTGGCCGCCGGCCATCTGCTGGGGAAACCAGTCTGTGTTATTGAGGTGATATGGTTTGGCTGTGTCCCCGCCCAAATCTCATCTTGAATTGTAGTTCCCATCATTCCCACATGTTGTGGGAGGGACCTGGTGAGAGGTAATTCAATCGTGGGCAGTGAGTTACCGCCATGCTGCTGTTCTCGTGATAGAGAGTGAATTCTCACAACATCTGCTGGTTTTATACAGAGATGTTTCCCGTTTTGCCCGGCACTTCTCCTTACTGCCACCATGTGAAGAAGGACGTGTTTGCTTCCCTTTCTGCCGTGATAGTAAGTTTCCTGAGGCCTCCCCAGCCATGCTGAACTGTGAGTCAATTAAACCTCTTTCCTTTATAAAATACCTACCCTCAGTTATGTCTTTATTAGCAGCGTGAGAATGGATTGATACATGAGGACCAGCCCGGACGAGGCCCTCGATGGTGTCAGACACTAGAACAGCCTCACACTGGTTTGAGTCAGTTGCTCGTCTCCTTCCCAGGAGTGGTTGAGCCCTCCCTGGGAGGCTGCAGAGGGAGTAGCCCTGTGGGTGCGTCACTGGTCCGGGAGGCCAGTTCTTGGCTGCGGCCCCCACCGTGAGCCATGTGGAGGGCCTAGAATTTTTGAGACTCGAGGATGGACGGTCCAGACGGACCAAGATGGCGGAAGCTGAGGATGGGCCCTGAGGAGCTGTCCTCCAAGGACAAAGCCAACAGACATTTCCCCTACATTTACCACCCAAATTCAGACATATTGGAGAGTAAAAGGTGACAGTGACACCCATGCACTCCCTGCCTCTCCTGTCCTCAGCATTCTCCTGTGTGGATGTCACTACATTTGCCCATGTCCCGGACCCTCCGTCCACCCATCGCTTCATCTTCTTTCCTCAGACATATCAGGTGCTGACCTCAGTTCACCTCCCCTCAGACACTTCCGCATGCGTGTCATTAACCAGACTGTCGTAGGGTTGGGCTTTTCTCATTTTGAAGCGTAATTTGCATACAATGAAATCACAAATTTGGAAGTGTATATTCATAGGTTTTATTATTTATTTATTTATTTATTTTGAGATGAACTCTCTGTCGCCCAGGCTGGAGTGCAGTGGTGTAATCTTGGCTCTCTGCAAGCTCCACCTCGTGGTTCAAGCGATTCTCCTGCCTCAGCCTCCTGAGTAGCTGGAATTACAGGCACCAGTCACCATACCCAGCTAATTCTTGTGTTTTTAGTAGAGACGGGGTTTCACCATGTGGGGCAGGCTGGTCTCGAACTCCTGACCTCAAGGGGCCCACCCGCCTCGGCCTCCCAAACTGGTGGGAATTGTAGGTGTGAGCCACCACGCCCGGCCTATTCACAGGTTTTAAAACATTATTTTTTATTGCGATAAAATACACATAACATGAAACCACTTTAACCATTTTATTTTTTAATTTTTTGAGACCGAGTCTCGCTCTGTCACCCACGCTGGAGTGCAGTGACGCTATCTCGGCTCACTGCAGCTTCCACCTCCCAGGTTCAAGAGATTCTCCTGCCTCAGCCTCCCAAGTAGCTGGGATTACAGCATCCACCAGCACCACCAGCTAATTTTTGTATTTTTAGTAGAGATGGGGTTTCACCATATTGGCCAGGCTGGTCTCCAACTCCTGAGCTTGTGATCTGCCTGTCTCGGCCTCCCAAAGTGCTGGGATTACAGGTGAGAGCCACAGTGCCCGGCCCACTTTAATCATTTTAAATGCAGAAAGTCATCCATTACTTAACAAGTATACCTTCTGAGAAAAGCGTGGCTAGGTGATGTCAACATTGCAGGAACATCACAGAGTGCATTTCCACATACCTATGTGGCATAGCCTGCTACACCCAGGGTAGGCGGTCTAGCCTATTGCTCTTAGACTACAAAGCTACAGAGCTTGTTACCATACTAAACACTGCAACTCTAACACAATAATACGTATTTGTGTATCTAAACATAGAAAAGTACAATCGAAATATGGTATTATAATCTTATGGAACCACTGTCGTGTACCTGTGTGGTCAATCACTGAGCAAAACCTCATTATGTGGCATGTAATTGTACATTCCCATTTTCACTGATCCGTTCATTGGTCAATGGATTCTCGGGTTGCTTTCATGTCAGCTACTGTGAATAATCCTGCTATGAACATGGGTATACAAATATCTCTTGAAGGCCGGGCATGGTGGCTCACACCTTCACCCTGGCACTTTGGGAGGCCGCGGAGGGCAGATCACCTGAGGTCAGAAGTTCAAGACTAGCCTGGCCAACACGGCGAAACCTCATCTCTACTAAAAATACAAAAATTAGCCGAGCATGGTGGTGGGTGCCTCTAATCCCAGCTACTCTGGAGGCTGAGACAGGAGAATCACTTGGATCCAGGAGGCAGAAGTTGCAGTGAGCCAAGATCCCGCCACTGCACTCTAGCCCCAGCGACAGAGCAAGACACCATCTCAGAAACAAACCCCCAAAACTAAACCCCCCCAAAAAACAAAAACCAATATATCTTGAAGACCTTCCTTTCAGTTATTTTGGGTGTATACTCGGAAGTGGAATTGCAGCCGGGTGCGGTGGCTCATGCCTGTAATCCCAGCACTTTGAGAGGCGGAGGGGGTGGATCACCTGAGATCAGGAGTTGGAAACTAGCCTGGTTAACATGGCGAAACCCCGTCTCTCCTAAAAATACAAAAATGAGCCAGGTGTGCTGGTGCGTGTCTGTAATCCCAGCTACTTGGGAGGCTGAGGCAGGAGAATCCCTTGAACCTGGGAGGTGGA